TGAATGTGCTGCACACAGGCCGCCTCATGTTTCAGTTGGCACGATATTCGAGATGTCGCAGTATATTTTCATAAAGCAAACTACTCATACGGTTGCTGAAAACTCTTCGACAGCCCACGATCGGTAAAAACCAAATTGATTTACAAATGAGTATATTTCTTGATAACTTTGGTGTTGTTTGTACAATCTAGTGATAACACGCGCAACACTATCATAAATGCACTTACAGATAACGGTTATAGACCTGGGTGATGTGACAAGGAGTCAAACGTAAATCTGCTCTGCAAAGCTGACTTGTGCCAACCATGCTAGACTTAAAACAATGTGTTAACAATGATTGTTTCTGCTAAATGAGGTGAGTAGACGAATTAGTTTTAACAAGGGGGGTGCATTTCAAATTACGAAGTGACCATTCCTAAAAACATTCATAAAGATGCTTCGGACTTGTTGAAGACCAAATCGATTCTAACAAAGAATTCACCTAAAGGGAGACGATTGAACTCTAAAAGCAGGACTATGACACCGCGATAGTTTCAGTGAACACTACTGAAATGCAAAGGTCAACTAACAAAAGTGGTAAGCTATGGTATTTTTTCCAAGAAGGGGCTCCAGGGGGGGCTCAAACTCAACCGAAGAGCGTTTTATGGACTAGTTTATAAAACCGCGGAAGCTCTGTTGTGGCTGCCTGATCACTGGTTGTCTATCTCAGCGGGAAGTAGCTATAGGGTCCTCATCCTTAGATCTGTGACACAGATGCATGTAACGAATAAACTTTTGGATGCTGTTCAGATGCTAAACACATCATTAGGGATGATTAGCGGAGCCAAGAGTTGCCCTTAATACTCACCTCACTGTGTGATCCAGGGCTAAGCGTTTTCTTACATCGATCGCACTTCAAACAGGGGCGGTGCCAGTCCTGACCCAGAGATGTCACCCGTTCCGCTGAAAAGGATGCTGCTTGTTGATTTAAATGATAACTCACCAAAGTAAACCTCCTTGTTGCAACTAGGGCACTTCGGCATGACCAACTGCGTCACCTGCCTCTGTGTAACACTCCCACCAATATATACGTAACATACAGAAAGCGACGGTGCTTATAGGTTGTGTGTAGACGCCTATCATGAACGCATTAGAGAAGCATCAGATCGTTCGTTAGAAGGGTACCTGCGAATGCAGACTGAACACACGCCTTCATAAAGCCATCTGCCGGAACAAATAGACCCACCACTCAGCCTATCATTTCAGGCTGAAACTTGGAAAGTCCTGCTGAGTCCTACATTTTTCTTGCTACAGACACATAGTGTCTGCTGGTTACCGTCACATGTACCAACGGAATGCCAAAGGTCTTTACTGCCTTTTTTTGATTACTATGCATGCAGATTTGTGTGTACATTTTCTTCTGTAAATCAAGCTGTCATACGAGTACACTTTTGGCGTGTGCTCATCCAGCTGTTGACATGAGATCTCATGAAGTTTACTGTACGAGAGCGGAGGGACTGGAGGCTATTTGGGGCTAGTCAAAGCGTCTCATTAGAATACGACACATACCAAATAGTGTTGCAGCTTCTACCGCGAGGTATCAGAACAACTCGAAGCTTCCGCAACAATCCGTTGATTCGTGCCACTCTGAGTTGGACACTGGAAGCAGTATGGCCAGCCGATCACAGCTGACAGCGATAGAAACAGTGAAGCGCTACCTTACGAGCCAACTCATGGTTCTCAATATCCTGGTTGCTGATCCCTTGATGCCCATAGGTTTCATTCATATAACATACAGTACTCAACTATCAGATAGAGTGTCGAGCCATCTCAATGCAACCGGTTAGATAAGCTAGTGAACAACTGTCAACCCATCGTTTCAGAAGAGCTTGGTAAACTATCGGTAGTTTTTATTTGGGCAACCAGGGACATCGGAGGTAATTCGAAGAATTCTAAACACGGCTAATATAAGAGTAGCCTTCCAGAATGGGAACAGTCTGCGCTCTGCACTGGTGCAATTGAAGGATCGCCTCCCGGCAAACAGAACCAGGGACTGTGTCTGCAAAATTAAGTGTAATGACTGCACCAAGGTCTATATAGGACAGTCGGAGAGCATAGTAGAAAAATAAACAGGCCGCCGAGAAACGCAGATGAATATCAAGCGTTACTGAAAGACTCGGCGATTGCGGAACACGCACTCGACACGGGACACAAAATAGATTTAGAAAATGTCGAGATTTTGAGGCGCGGACTACGCTCCACGTCACAGACTGATCGCCGAGGCGGTATAAATCGCCAAGCATCCCAGCGTTAACAGAATAAAAGGCGCGGAACTGGCTAGTGTGTGGAGAACGGTCTTGGGTCACTCGAGCTGACACGTGTTGGTGTGCGGTCATCAGAAGTAAGAGGGGTCATCATCTGAAATCCACTTGACCTC